TCGCTTGTCATCTTTCAGTCGTCACAGCCCGTGAAGGGGTTTGTCCATGATGAGTTTCTGGCATCGGGTCAACCACGGTGTTCTAGTTCTAAAGACATTTTTCTTTTTCCTTACAGGATTACATTAACTGTGCCGAAGTGTGGGTCGAGTACACCTGCAAACATTTCACGGTATGTGTGGCTACGGTGTTGTTTTGGAAAGAATTATATATTTTTTTCGCATTTATAGTAAGGAATAAGTCTAGCTTAGGCATTTTACAGTGATAATTATTCTTAATTTATAAAAAGCGCATCTTTTATACCAGAGCGTGATGGAACATTAATATGTGTGCAGTAACAAAAGTGTCCCACACGCACGTGTGCATTTGGGAGCCGCTGCGTCATGCAAAGTTAAGCGGTCTTTTCACGGTAAGATACGTTAGACGCTTATATGCCAAGGTGCATTGTGACTTTCCATGGGGGTCTAAGAAGCAGTATTTCCCAGACTTGCACGTAATTATTTTCTAAGCACACAATGACACTTCTTTCCCGAGGCCCAGACTGGAACTTGTGAAATACTGGGCTTGTCACAGAGCAGAGACTTAGCAGAAGAACTGATTCAGATCCCAGAGTTGCTTATTTTAACCAGCCTTTAAAAATTGAAGCCTAGCAAGCATGCAGAAAGGCACATGCATTGTAAGTTTGCTGCCCAGTCAATCCTCACAAGGTCCACCCAGATAATCGTCGTCCAGATCAAGAAACAGGAAGTCACCTCAAGTCCCCCAAACTCCCTTCCCCCCGTCGCAGGCCCCAGCCTTTGGAAGTGGAAGGGCCCACCGTGCTGGCACTCAGTTCCAGAAATGGGCTTCACCCTGCTTTGAGCATTGGATAAACCCTGGTCTGTTGATTTTCTTTTGTCCAACTTTTGTTTCACGTCTTACTATGGAAATTTGAAACATGTGATCGCTTTTATACTCATCGCCCAGAAATGGCCAGCTTATGACAAGTCCTGTTTCATTGACGTCCTTAGCCCTTTTCTCCCCACTCCTTGATTATCTTGAAGCAAATCTCAGACGTCGTATTTCATGTCACTATTTTAGCGCATATCTGTAAAATATAAGAATTCCGTTTTCTGAAAAAAATCCCAATATGTTATCCTAACTAAATTAATAATGCTTTAATATCATTAAAAATTAGTCAGCGCCTGGATTTCTCCAGTTGTCACATAATTTTTTTTTTTTAACAATTGATCTGTTTAATCCAGATTAGAATAAGGTCCGTATATTGGGACATAGGGTCTTCGGGTTCTTTTGCTCTGTAAGTTCTCTCTCTTTGCCCCTCCCTTCCCTCTTTTTCTCGGTAACTCATATATGTCGAAATTGGGTCATTTGTCCTGTGGAGCTTCCGTAAGTTACATCCCTATGGCGGCATTCAACGTGTTCTTTTGCCTTCAGCATTTCCTATAAATTGGCAGTTAATTCTGGAGACTTAGCTTCAAATTTGCTTTTTTGGCACCGTGGCTGCTGGTGCGGTGCTCCTCCTGGGACATCGATGGTATCCGTCTCTCTGTGGCGTGAGCACGTGAAGCACGTGGCATCTCATAGTTTATCAGAGGTTGCAAAATGGTGACATTCGGAGTTACCGTGTCTTCTCGGTTTGTTGTCTGGGAAACTCGTGTAAAGCGAGGCTCCTCTCGTAGTGTTTCGTCACCCTGAAGATGCAGTCGGTACAGAAAAGGTAGCACCGATGCCCGTTTTTGTCCCTCGACTAGTTATTTACTAGTTTTCAGAAGACGAGTTCACCTCCCCACACCGCAAAGGTGACCGGCGAGTTGTGGTTAGTCTTGGCGTCTTTAGGAAGTCGTGCATTTAAGCAAACTTGAATTCTATTCTCATGGATGCTCAGTGGTCCCACCTGTGTCCAGGCTGGCTTCGGAGTCCTCAGACACGCCATCTGTCGTCTTTGATGCTTGCTTTGCTTTCTAAGCTGTTCCAGTCTCCTCTCCATATTTCTTATCCTGGTTTTCGAATCAGCTCTTTTTCCAAGGAACTTTAGTTCCTTTTAGTGCTGTCGTCAGATTTTTTTTTTTTTTGCTGTGTGATCTTGGCTAAGTCACTTGACTTCTCTGAGCCTCCATGTCCTCATCTGTAGAGCGGGCGTAGTGATGTCCATGCTGGGGAGTGTAATGAGCATTAAACCAGAGAGTAACATGATGGCAACTCTTTAGATAACACAAACTGTGGGCCGGGCACTTTTCCTGTGAACCAGGCAGCCTCAGAGCCACCTCGCTAGGAGGTGTCACTGTTCCCGTATAGACCAGAGGCCAGCACACTTTCTGTAGAGGGCCAGACAGTAAATGCTTGAGGCTTTGTGGACCTGTACGATCACTGTCACAAGTGTCCAACTCTGCCACTGCAGCTTGAAAGCAGCCACAGACAGTACGTGAGTGAGCACGGCTGCGAGCCAGTAAACTCCATTTACTCCCACCGAAATTTGAGTCTCCAGTGCCTGTTACGAAATGCTGTTCTTTTGGCTTGACTGTAAAAACCGTTCCTAGTTCACGGGCTGTACAAAAACAGGCATTGGGCTGGATTTGGCTGTGGTTGGCCGACGCCTGATACACACGACAGAAGGGAAGTGGCCATTGGGTCACCTGGCTTGTAGGGAGCAGGTCTCTGCTCTTCCCACAATGCCTCACTGGTCTCTGCAGCACCCAGGGAGGGGCCTGGGACAGGCAGGTGGGGAGGGACTTGGCCA